GTGATACACCACAACACTGGACCCTCCCATTGACCTTTCAAGTCCAGTTCCTGGCACACAGATGTGTTGGTACAGGAGGAGGAGGAAGAAATGAGAAAGCTGGAGGATGTGATGGCTGTGAACGCAGCCATGCCAGGGTGCAAACCTGCACGTTTTTACACTGAGAAGGGATGAAGGATGGCATGGGTGGCGCATGCAGACACACAGGATGGGAAAGGGGCTGAGGACCCTGTAGCTTAGCTCAACCAAGGGTGATACAAAGGAAAGAAGGAAAAGGTGGGAAACAACAACTGAGAAGAAATGTTCTCAACAAACACTCGCAGAGAAAAGAATCAGCAAGTCATTTCTTTGCTCCATGACTACATATGCTTTAAAAAAAAAAAAAAGATACTTGGGGAGACAAAAGTAGTCAATTAATAAATTAGATGTGCTAAGTAAATGAGACATCTAAGAACTCAATTTCTTTCCTAAATTTTGCACACTTCACCAGAGTTACAGTTACAGTTAAACAAAGGAGACACACATCCCCACCATCAGGGTCACACACCAGAGGTGGCATCTGTCAATTTCACATCTACGAATTCCCCAATTCCCATTTCCTTTTTAAAAATAGAGTCCATTTCTAAGCAAATGAGAGTGCTGAGTTCAGAGATCCCGGGGCAGCAGTCCTGGGTAATTCACTCAAGTCATCAGGGTTTTCCTTAAAGGCCCTTCTCCTCTGGCTTGGAACACAAGGATTAGAAATGGAGAAGCTGGGATTTGAACCTATGCCCATATGAGATGCCAGTATTGCAGATCAATGGCTTAGCCCAATCTATCACAATGCCAGCCCCATTCAACTCCATTTTCACATAGTTGGTATCACTAGTACTGGTTATTATGCCATCGCTCTTGTTCTCATTCTCCAGTTTACCCAAAATTCTTTTATGTTTCATAAACATTTTATACAAAGGGTCTTCTAGAAGTTCATAGAAAACACATACTATAAAAAACCTACATGAATTTCTTTTTTTTTTTTGCAGCATTATAAACTTACCCTTCAATACCCTTCAATTCCACTTTCCCACAATTTTTTTCCAACTTACTTACTTTAAAGAGTGACAGAAAAAAAGACATCTTTCATTCATGGGTTCACTTCCCAAATGACTACATCAGCTGGGGTTGTGTCAGGTCAAATCCACGTTGGCCTCCCTCTGGGTCTCCCACATTGGGGCAGGGACCCAAGAACTTGTAGATCATTTGCTCTTTCCCAAGCTAATTAGTAGGAAGCTGAATTGGAAGCAGCATGGACTCAAACTGGCATAACTTGCTATGGCATACAGGCATCCCAAGTGGTGGTTTAGCCTGCAATGTCACAACACCACAGACTTTTAAAAATCTCCCAATGTGCGCAGCCTGAAGGTCATTCTAACACAGCACTTTGTAGTGTGCCCGGATTTAGACAGGAACCTGTCACAGGAGACCAGGTGTAGGATTTTCTATTTGCCGTGTCAGCTCTCAGAAACGGTTTCAGATTTTGGAGTATTTCTGACTTTTGGAGTGTTCAACCTGACGAGGACTGAGAGAGACCCTTCAGGATGTGAGAGGCAGAGCCCCAGCTGTGACCCATGTCTGCAGGATGCCATGCCCCCTGAGCTATTGTATCACTTGAGACCACCAGCTGGCTCCGCCCTCCCTACAGGGCAGACCTGGGGACTCTGGGTTGAGACAGCTGCTAACAACACACTGGACAGACTGGTTTCTCACTGCCTGGCTGAGACACTGTTGAGCCCACACCTGCTGTGCTTAGCCCGCATGTGTCAAGGCAGCCAAGGCACCCAGACGCGAGAGGCACTCAGAACCCCCAGTCTGAAACAAGGCTCTCTTTGGAATTCTCATGAGGATCAGTCTCACTGGGTATTGCCCCTGCGATCACAAAGGTCCCACGTTTAGGGCGAGGCCCCACATACCAGTCACAGATCTGAAAATACATAAAGGTACCTGTGGAAAACACGGGTCTCGTTTTGTGTTTTGGAGCTGGGGGCAGGGCTGAGGGGAGCGATGCAATAGTGTTTTCTACAGGATCTGGGATGTGGAACATGGATCACGACCCGGGTGGGGCTCCCCAGGAAGAAAAGGGGCACAAAGAAAGAGCTCAAAAATTTTACAGCCTTACAACCCGGGGCCGCCAAGGGAAAGGTTCACAAAGCGGGGGTCTGGGTCCTTTTGTGAACACCACAACAAATAAGTTCATCAGCGGGTCCTGTTCCTTGTGCGTGCACACCGCCCCCTCTGCATCCCATCACTGCTCAAGCAGAGTCTACAACTGTCAATGACGACGGAGCAGCCTGATGAGGAAGATGTGTGCCAAGGAGGGGAACAAAAGATCATTTCATGAGTCACAACTGGCCCGTGTATTCCTGAGGACCCGCTGTCATCTGCACCTTGCTCAAACCTTGGCTAAACGGTGGCCAAACACCCCTCCCTCCCCAACAGCCCTGTTGCAAACACACCTTGCCTACAGCTTCCCGGGTGCAGGCACATGTGTTCATGCACAAAACCCTCAAGCCAGCCCCACCCTCGACACAAGCAGGTGGATCAACTCTTCGTTGTCTGTCTTCAGGCTCTTGGACCAAGCCCACCCCCAACTCAGTCCCTCCAATGTCTTTCTTAGGAAGACGGTAATTTACCATCCAGGGCTTTGAATATCTATCTTCTTCTAAACATTAAACAGAAAGTTGGATTTTTTTTTTTTAAAGTTTGTCCTTCTGGCCGATTTTCTCTTCTGTTGGCACTAAATACATCCATGGGCTGTTGGACTTCAGTTATTTGTTTTTTTAGTTCTACAAGTGCTATTTGGCCCTTTTCCAACTTTCCCTTAAAATGATTTAATTGAAAGGCAGAGGGAGAGAGACAGAGAGGGAGAGATGGAGAGGGAGAAAGAAAGTGAGAGAGAGAGCGAGCAAGGGCTGGGCCAGGTCAGAGTCAGGAGCCCAGAACTCCTGCTGGGGCTCCCACATGGGTGGGAGGGGGAGTGAAGTACTTGAATCAGCACCTGTTTCTTCCTGGGGTGATCACTAGCAGGTAGTTGGCAATGGAAACAGAACCAGGATTTAAACACAGGTGCTCCAACATAGGATCCAGGCAACTCAAGTCTGTGTCCACAGGCTTGTATTTGAGGATGTTTTATTTCCCCATAAACAGAGAATCAGGGAGCTCCCATCTGCTTGTTCACTTCCCAAATAGCAGCAACAGCCAGGGCTCTTGGCCAGGTCAAAACCAGGGGCAAAGACACATGAATGTCAGGGACCCAGTTACCACAGTCATCAGCTACTGTCCCCCAGGGTTTGCACAGGATGCTGGCTGTGGGGGGCAAAGGTGGGGATGGGATCTAAGCTATAGGAGATAGGATGCCCATGGAGGTGGGTGTTTAGCCTGGCAGTTAAGGTGCTGTGTTTGGCTTTGGGTGACTGTAAGGAAATGCTGGAGTGGGCTACATCCGAAAGCAAAGAGGCCCATGTCAGCTCATAGTTCTGGAGATGCAGCTTCCGGGTTCCTTGTTTGGTCATAGGCTTTTTGTGGGTAGAGCTCCGAAGTGCATGATCACACAACAGGGGCTCTCTTCCTGCTTGTATAAGGCCTCTGGGCTCCACCCTCACCACCTCAGCTAATCCTGGTCACCTCCCAAAGACCTTGCCTACAAGCCCCACGGGCAGACCGAGTGTGCACTCTTAATTCATCGTGGTGGTCCAGCACACAAGACCTTGGGGGACATGTAAACCCATAGCCAAACCATGTCAACTGGGAAGCCCAAACGAGAGTGGATGCACATAGGAGTGGAAGCTCCGGTGGGTTGGCCTCATGCTGGGAGAGAGCTGCTAAGGGCAGGGAGAACAAGTCCACTCCTAATAAAGGAACGCGGCCCTTCCCCTGCAGTCTCTCCTCTGAGGTCCTGGAATCCAAATCTGCCTGACCAATCCTTCTTTGATGTTATTACTTCATCACGAAAAAGCAAGGCAGGCACTGCTGAGTTTTAAGGCATGCATTTCAGAAGATCATGGCATTGTGGGGACCCCATTCTATCCCCAGATTCGGCAGAGAAGATGGGGGAACCCATTAAGTATTCCATATGAAAAAGGCTAAAAGTCAGGGGGAAAAACGTGCATGGATAACTAGTTCCTTGACTGTTGCCATACTTGTTTCAAGTAAGCGTGTTAGCTTTGCAGACTTGGTACACCTTGGAGACACGAATCCCCAGATCCAGCCCCTGGTTCTGCTGCTGTTGCCACTCCTCAGCCTCACCTGCTTTGGGCTTAGGCATGGTGCACTGGCCACACGTAATTAAAACCTCACGACAAACCACATCGGAATTTCCGCAGGATAACGACGGGTGCCCATGTCAGAATTGTTTGCTGTGCTGGCTCAATAATCCATGTTGTTCAACTCCACCCCAAGAACGACTCACCAAAAATCTGTAGACAGGCTGGGAACCGGCATTGTAAACACACACTCACTGGGATTCTTATACGGGCACAGGGCAGCACATTTTACAAAGGAATCATCAAGAGCTAACAATGGCACCAGCACTGAACTGTGATTGGATTTAAACTCAATCAGACTTCAGAACCTGGGCATCCCTCATGCAGCCTCAGGTGCAGTCACCACAAAGACAAAGGCACAAAAGCCAGTAGGTTTGCCTTTAAAAACCGACAAAGCCTCCCTCCCATAATCACCTTGCCTTGTAATATGCAAATTCATCTTGGCAAACGCACAGGAAGGTTTTCTATTTTAAAGAAAAACATTCACCACCTCCCCTCTGAACACCAAACAGCTCATTTTGTTTCACTAAGACTTAAGCGTCTTTTGTCAATTTCAGGGCTTCACCACAGGGCACTGCCTGTGTTAGAAGAGACACCAAACCCCCATATTAATCAGACACACGGCGGGTTGGGGGGACTCGGCGCAGGGTAAGGGTGCAAGCGAGGAGACGGGCAGAGCTGTATTGGCTGGCTGGCTCTTACCGCAGGAGGCTGACTTCTTTTCCACCAGGCCCACGCGTCTGGTCTCGGTGCGGAGTTTTTCATCCGTGTTCTCCACCAGATTGGTGAGGTCATCAATGATTTCTGGAAAGAGAAGCAGAGGTGTTTGATTAGTACTCGAACACTGGGGTTCCCATCGTGGGATCACGGCCATTGGCAGCTCCTTCTAGTAAGACTCTTCTCATGGGCAGTGCATGGAAAGCTACCCAACTCAACAAGTGAGCAGTCAGTTGTCATTCTAGTATCAAGAGGATCTGGACAGAAGACTTCGCAATGGGGTCCTTCTTGAGAAAGACTGGTTAACGATGAAAATCTAGCTACTCGAGACCCAAGGACAAGTCTGGACTTGTGGAGAAGCTGAGAGACTGTGACCTAAGAGTTGCTGGTGGAAAATGACTTCATTTAAAAACCAAACCTCTCTGCCATTCCAATAAATAAATCTTTTATTATTATTATTATTATTGGAAAGTCAGACATACAGAGAGGAGGAGAGACAGAGAGGAAGATCTTCCGTCTACTGATTCACTCACTCCACAATGGCTTCAATAGCTGGAGCTGAGCCATTCTGGAGCCAGGAGCTAGGAGCTTCACACAGGTACAGGGTCCCAAGGCCTTGGTCCGTCCTTGACTGCTTTCCCAGGCCACAGGCAGGGAGCTGGATGGGAAGCGGGACTGCCAGGATTAGAACCAGTGCTCATATGGGATCCCGGCACATAAAAGGCTAGGACTTTAACCACGAGGCTATGGTGCCAGGCCCCGATAAATAAATCTGAAATAAATATGAAAAGATAAAGGCAATGACAAAATAGAAACAAAAAGATAAAAGCGCTGAATATGTTTCAAAGCATTTTGGCTTTTCTTGGGAAAACAGATCTAAGTAAAATTTTTCAAATAATCACAATGAAACACCTGCCTAGACAAACTTTGTGGTATTTTACAACCATTCATTCCTCATTCTTCCCTTGGACTCGATGACACACTCTCCCTCAGTGTTTAAGTCACTCAGAAACGGTCTCCTTTTCCTTGAGCTTTTGGAAGAACTGTCATACACGGGTGATGCTCCAGAGCTGTACAATCTCACTCCCACGATTTTATGAGCCTTTAACTTCATCAGCACTTGAAACAGGGGCAGACATTTGGCCTAGCCGTTAAGACCTCCATACTTCATGTGAGAGGGCTTGGATTCGATTGGGTCCTTGGCCTAGCAGACCCATTCAAGCTCCCTGCCAGGGCAGCCTGGATTGGGTTTCTGCCTCCCAGCTCTGCTGCTGCCCAGCGCTGGGGGTTGGAGGCATGACGGGAGTGACCCGGCAGAGGAGATCTCTCTTCACTCTACGGAGCCAAGTGCCAGCCACTGATCTCTACCTGACTGCCAAGGTCTTGAAGTCAAAATGTATCATAGTCTCCCAGATGTGACCATTCCCCCTCCACTGACCATCTCAATGAATGGCCCCATCACTCATTTGCCAGCCCAAGCTGGAATTCTTTTTAAAATTATTATCATTTTTGAGTTAATTAATTAATTAATTTCCCTTGTCCCTTCCCCCCATTGAATCTCCCTATATAATTACTATAGCATAGCTCTTCATAAACAGTTACATGTTCACCACTGCGGGCATGGACAATGGCAGAGTCCAGCCTCCCATTGTCAAGATACGGCTAATAGTTTCACTGGGAGTCCATCTTTGATCTGGAAGTAGAGATGTACACTGCATCCTCACATCTGGAAATGAGTCTCCATTACACAGTAACCACATATCCCTCTTATATGAAAAGCCATAATATAAAATCAACAACAGGAAGAAAAATGGAAATTTACAACACCATGAATTTCTCAAGAGGTTTTGACAGTTCAACAGTGCTGAATTGCTGGTGATCACGCCACTCCAATCACGATGAAATCTCTCCCAAATCCACTGGTTGCTATAGTGCACCTTAGCGTCTCTGTCTGCCTAGATCTTCACTGCCAATGATTGGCTGGAGTAGTTGATCAATTTGTTCTATCCTCCATCCTCTGCCATGGTACCAGGTATCCTCTGGAGGGTCCGATGCATTGCCCTATCCTCCATGTACATTTAGATATGCTGTCCTCTGCTCCATCTGAGCCACTGAGGAGGCTCAGCTTTGACACATGCACTCAACAATCAGCCCATGGAACCTGCAATTCTCTCCATGGTTGGGGTTTTGAGTCCAGTGGTTCAGTTGGTAGGAATCACCCAAGAAACCTCTGAGGTCATTCCAGACCGGATTCTTGTGTGTGTTTGCCAATACACGGTCTGACACCGTCTGGCATCCAAATCAGCATACATACACACTGGTAGTTGCAATTGCTGGGTCAGTTCTGTCTCCAACCTCGTGTTTTATGAAACCCACTGGGTGTTGGAGCCCAGTCCAATCCTGCCCATCCCATACTTGGCCTTCATGTAAACCAATGGGAGCTGCAGTCTAGTTGGCGCGACCTACAAAAACCCCCACCAAGCTCACTCCTGCCCTGTGCTTGCCAGGATGTAGAGCAGACTCGTCTGGTCTGTCCCACATCCCATTCAGCTCTCGTCCATGTTGATGTGTATGGAAACCCAGTTCATCCCAACCAGCCCCACTATCCAATCTACACTGATGCAGTGGGTGCCACCGTCTAGTACATGCCTGCACCTGACAGAATTTGGCCCCTGTACCAGCATCTGCCAGTTGATGATGCTGCGACAAAGCCCAATCAATCCACACCAGCACTGGCTTATGCATGTGCCAGAAGGTACAGTCAGCCCAGCCTGGCTTTTCTCTGAGCCAGCTCACATGTAGGCCATCAGATGTGGCCCTGCCCGGCCTGATCTGCCCCCCGTCCCAGCTCTCATGCTCACCAATGGGAGTAGTGGCCCAGTCGGGGGGCCTTCGCAGCCCACTCACTACCACCCCTTGTGTTTCACATGTGTTGGTTGGGTGCTGCAGCCTACTCTGGCACAGCTCCCTCACCTCAGCATTGGGCCAGTGGGGCCTGGCCTGGCTAGACCCACCCCAATTCCAACTCATGCTGGTGGGGGTTACAGCCTAGCCCAGCCCTGCCCAAGCTGGAATTCTTGAGTTACTCGGCCTTCCTTTTTCTTTTCCTTTGTGTGACATCCCATTTCTTAGTCATTCCTATTAATTCTACCTCCACCGTGTCATCATTTCTCTTCTACTGTTATCCATACTTCACAAAACAATGACCAAACTTAACTTCCTGTTTCTAGTCCTGAATCCTCCTTCATTCCATACAAGATTTAGGGAAATATCTTTTTATTTCCTCAAATTTTATTTCAACTTAAATAACCACACATGGCTAGTGACCCTTGTAATGAGCAAATCTATTTAAAGTAGTAACTTAATAAAACAAAGAGAGAAAGAAAATCAAAATGCATCCACCCTCTCCCCCCCCACCCTACTGTATTGTTTTGAAAGAAAACCAAGAGATACAATTAAATGGTAAGTTGGAAAAGTTTGACTCAGTGGTTAGGTCACCACTTGGACATGCACATCCTATAATGGAGTGTCTGGGTTGAGTCTGGGATACTCTGCTTCCAAGCTATTTCCTGCTGATGCATGCCTTTGGAGGCAACAGGTGATGGCTCAAGTACTTGGTCTCTTGACACCCACGTGGAAGAACGGGGTGGAGTTCCTGGCTGCTGGCTCTGGCCTGGCCCAGCCCTGTCTGCAGACATGCAGGGAGTGAACTGGCAAATGAAAGACCTCTCTCTACCTTTCAAATAAAAGTGGAAATAACTTTTTAAAAAATTCATTTTAAAAATGCATGATTCACTTACAACAAAGTAGGAAAGGGAATCTATATAAGGAACAAAAGGAACTTAAGTACTCAGGCAACATAGTTAACTATATCAATAGTCACATCAAATGTCAGTGGTCTAAATGCTGCAATTAAAACAAAAAGAGTATCAGACACATTTTTTCTTTCTTTATTCTTTCTTTTTTTTTAGAAAACATGTATAAGCTCTTGCAAACTCAGTTAAAATATAAATCAGATAATTTCTGTGTAAAAAAAAAAAAAGCTGTATTAGGGCCTGGTAGAGTAGCCTAGTGGCTAAAGTCCTGGCCTTGCACATGTTGGGATCCCACATGGGCACTGGTTCATGTCCTGGCAGCCCCACTTCCCATCTGTCTCCCTGTTTGTGGCCTAGGAAAGCAGTCGAGGATGGCCTGAGGCCTTGGGATCCTACACCTGCATGAGAGACCTGGAAGAAGCTCCTGGCTCCTAGTTATGGATCAGCTCAGCTCCGGCTGTTGCAGCCACTTGGGGAGTGAATCAGCACATGGAAGATCTTTCTCTGTCTCTCCTCCTCTCTGTATATCTGATTTTCCAATAAAAATAACTAAATCTTTTTAAAGCTGTATTAACACCACATTAGATAACTTTCCAGAGAATGAGTATTTTGAGAGATTAAACTTTTCATCACGATTAAAAAAAAATGACACATGTGTAAAATTCTCCAACATTTAAAAATTAAGGAATTCTCCAGTATTTAGAAAATTCAGGAATCCACTTTCAAACAACTCATGTGGTGGACAAAATCACGACAGAAAGCAGGACGCACTCTGCATGGAAGGATCATGACAACTTCTACAGACTCCTGACTTTGCACGCTCTCAGCATCTGTGCTGAAAACGCCCGCTCCCCAGTGTGGTGGCACTCAGACGTGGCACCTTTGGGAAGTGATCGGGTCATGAGGAAGCAGCCCTCACAAATGCAAGAAACTAGTCCATGACCGCGATTTGTAACCTTATAAAAGAGGTCTCACGCAATTCCGCTGTTTGTTTCTTCCATCATGCGAGGCTGCAACAAAAGACATCTGTCTGCGGGCTTTATTAAACAGGTTTCACGGAGTTCCGCCATTTGTCCCTTCCATCATGTGAGGTGACAGCCAAAGACATCTGTCAATGGGCCAGGAAGCGGGCCCTCAGGAGACATGGAATGGGCCGGTATCATGACCTTGACTTCTAGCCTCCAGGAATAGCTTCCCGTTGTTCACTAGCCATGAGCATTCGTAGCAGCCTGAAGAGAGTGAATCACTACTCTGTATCAAAGTGTTTGGGGG